TATTAAATAAATAAATAAAATAAAATAAAATAAAATAAAATAAAATGTTTAATTGGAACTGGGAAATTTTCCTACCTTTTTATTTTCTTCTTTTACATTCAGGATGATATTCTGACTGTGATTCGCCGAGTAGATGAAAATTGGGCTGAAGGAATGTTGGCTGACAAAATTGGAATATTTCCTATTTCATATGTTGAGGTGAAAGAATCTTAAATTTCTTTAATGTTGAATTAATGGGAATATGCACACAGACATACATACATACATACGAATACAAACATACACACATTTATCCTAAATTTCTTTTACTTTGGAGAATATGGACAAATGGAAAATTTGTAGAATTTAATCAAAGAACATTATCTTTTTTTTTAAGCAAATTGAAACATTTATTATAGAGTGCACAGGTAAATTAGGTTGTGTAATGAGACTTTACTTGTAATATACATTGTCATATATTCATTCAAAACTGATGATAGAAATATGAAGTATTGACGGAAAGTTTCATTAAAAATTGTCCTTACATTTGAATTGTAAAAAGATCACTCTTTGCATATTTGCTAATGTCCGGCAGTTGATAATCATAGTGGATTTTTGGTGTCTGATGGATCATAGTACCTGTCAATTTAAAAATATTTATTTAGTATCAAAATAATGGAATAAAGATTTTTTTTCTTTAGTTTACTCCTATGCAATATCATTTGAAGAAGTTAAATGACTATAATTATGTCTAAATATTCTAATAAGAACAGTGGCATCAGATAAGAGACATGCCTTCACTTGCCTGGTCAGTCTAATATTTTGAAATATTGTATATGGCTGTAATAATGTAAAATACATGTTGTGGTGTGATATGCTGGAGTAGGTTAGCTTTCCCATCACTTCACACATCACTTTGAACCACATAAAACTAGATCTGATTTAAATAAAGGATATAATTTAACAGCAATAATTCTCTAAAATAATGCTGAAGCTGTTATGGTCTTAGCTAAACTTGGACATCTAAAATTTAATTTACATCAAAGCTTATTATGATTCATTTTGTATACTGTTAACAATTAAAGTCTATTAAAAATATGTATTGTATGCTAGCTTCTAAATAAAATCTTAAAATACCTGACATTATCCCTGTGGCTAGTATGTTTTTGGCTATAGACAAGCCAGCTCCAAATGTCTGTAGTTTATTACATCATGACAAGTTTTCAGATATTAATATGTGTGAGCTGTGCAAAATTTCCACTACAGTGACATCCTTAGACATCTAGATGAATTTAACCTTGGTACTGAAATTCATATGGGTTGATTGTTTCTGTGTCTTCTTTGAACAGCATCTCTGTGGAGATATAGAAATCAAACCTAGGCTCTACCACTGAATCGCCCTTCTCATCAAGAAATCAAATCTCAGTCATCTGCATGACAGACATAGATGTTCACCTCTTTATGAGGAAATAAATAATACAATGTAACTGATTTATAGTAACTTTTGAGTATTGCCTAATTTCCACAGTAATCTTCAGTATTCAGAATATTTTAATCACATGTCATACTAATACTTTTATGAAGTTGGCTAGATTCCCTAGGAAGCAAATTGTTCAGAATTATCCTATATTCAGTTCCAACACTGATAATCTGATAAGTTTAAATTATAAGAGTCACATCCTTAACAAAATCTCTAACCAAATTATGGGTTTAGCAAAGCTTACCTCTATCTTTTTGTGCAGTAGCTTGCCCAGCCAGAAATTAAAGGAAAATGAGGCATTGGTGCTGTGTGCTGTTCTGGTTTTTCAGAAGTTTTATTTTAATATTTATTGCTGAAATGAACATTGCTATAGCAGATGCACTCTCAAGAAGAAATTTGAGAGAATATAGGGGACTAATGCAGTTTGTTATCCAATCTTACATTGGACACTGTGTTATAATAATTTCTAAGTACAGAGTGATTATACAGTACTGGAAAGAAAGGAATTTTAATAAAAAGGAAAGCTTGCTAGATAATCTGGGTCAGTAGGTAAGTTAATAAAATCAAGGTTGAAAAAATAGAAATAAAAATGTCATGCCCAATACAATTTCAGATTTTATTTCCACTGCATTCCAGAGTTTGATATACTTGTAAAATTAAGTGACTTAATAATGTATTAGAGGATATGACTAGTTGATTGCCTTAATTTTAATGATTCCACCATACTGTAAGAAATGTCAGTTGATATCACAGATATCTAATCTCATTGATAACTTGGGATACTAATTATTAACATCACTTTTTTGATGGAGAACAGTGCAAGTATCTCAGTTGGCCGGCCTGTCACCTTGCAAATCAATAGTCTTGGTATGTTATCTGAGAAGGAAAAAAAATCAGTCTTGGCATACATCTGTTCCAGCTTCTTTATCTGCTAACTTCCAGATTTTTACAGTGATAACCTTGACTCTTGGAAGAAATTTGTTTAAGGGGGCATTTGATTCTATGCCTTTTACATACTCCTCCTCCAAGTTTATAACTGGCAATAAAGGAGTTGATGTTTATACATAACCTGAAGTCTTTGCATTTATTGTGTGATTTTTTTTTCTAGAAGTCTATTATTAATTTTTCTCTTTAAAAAATGTATTTAATTTTTTAAAATTTCAGTTTTACTTGTAAACATTCTAAATTTACTAAATAAGTAAAATTCTGATAATTTAAATAGATTTAATTGCAGCTAAAATTCCCTTATTGTGTATTTTCTAATGTAGGATAACTTTTTTTGTATCTATTTATACCCCAAGGGATTAGAGGTACATATCTCTTGAGCAGACTACCATAAAGACTTTGATCCTGCTTTTTGTGATTTAGAAGTCAAGTGGTATGTGGCTGTAATGTAATTAAACATAAAGGTGAATTTAGCTCTGGTCCAAGAGGTACAAGTATGATTGCAGTAATTCACTTCAGAGATTTTTTTTCAATATTTTTAAACAATGAATAAAGGAAAAAGATGAGTGGATAGGGGCATTCTATTTCTCCTTCTCTTCTCACGTTTATATAGATAGCCAGATATAACGAATAACAATACATTCAGGAATGATACAAAAATACTTCTTAATGTACAATATATAATTAAAATGGAACTAGTTAGTGCATTTTTTTTTCTTTTAATCAGATGACAGCATTAATATTTATGAAGTGTCATTGTCTTGCAGTTTAACTCAACAGCAAAACAACTTATTGAACTGGACAAACCCTCAGTGTCTACAGTAGATTCTGGAGAAGGCACCTCTGGCACATCCCATAGCAATTCAGTGCAAAAGCACACTGATACAAAGAAGAACACCAAAAAACGCCATTCTTTTACCTCCCTTACCATGTCCAATAAGGCTTCACAGTCTTCTCAGAATCGTCACTCAATGGAAATCAGCCCTCCTGTCCTCATCAGCTCCAGTAATCCAACTGCTGCAGCACGAATAACTGAGCTTACGGGCCTTTCTTGCAGTGCACCTTCTCAGGTAATCATGATACAAGTGGAAATCAAGGTATATCATAGCTGTTTTAATGAACAATTTAAAAGGTTATCAAAACAAAAGAGGTATAATTATTGCCCTAAATTATTTTTATACTTGTATTAAAATATGCAGAAGCAAACCTTAACTATTCATTAAGGGACAGTCTTCTTGCATTCTTAAGTACTATAATCTGAAGACAGCTGTTCTTGCTTTTTACATAAGGTTTTTTCCCCAGTTTAAATAGGATTTCTTTTAAATATTTTCTAGCTAAAGAGTAAAATAATTTTATTCTTGAATTAGATAAAATTTGAATAATGTTAGGTACTTTTAAATTTGGGGTTAATATTTTCCACATATAAACAGTTTGGAAGGATTGTTCATCCCTCACAAATTGGGAATTGGGGGAGAATTTGGGTAGTTTTCTAAGATGTGCAGGTTCCCTTGAAGACAAAGTAGCCAATTTTATTGGGTACCCCAAAACATTGTATGCTTATGGAGTGTAGGAGTGTCAGGTAATGTCAGTTGAGTGGGGGATCTCTGCTATGTTTGGTGGCATTTTACATTACTGTTTGGACTACTCAAACGTTTTTATGCCATTGTTTGAATGGATTGCTCTTGTGATGGTGACAGTGGTATGCCAGTTGGCAAGGGATACAGTTATGAAACCGGAGGATTGGAGATTAATGCAGAAAGACCTACTTCTTGGGAGTGAGTTGAAGAGGGCGAAACTCAGGAGTGTTGGACTTGGATAATCAAACTTGGAGCACTAAGCTGCAGAGACCACCCAAGTAGACTGATTGGTTACAGGCCTGGTCTCTCTGGTAGAATTCAGTGTGGCAGTTCAACCTGGATTGTGGTGGGGTCTGTCAGAGGCAATACTGGAAAGGTGCAGCAGGAGGCAAACTGGAGCTTTTGTGATATCAGAAGCAAGTTTGACCACTTGGAGGAGCAACGGCTGGAATCATATCATCCCCATTTAAGGCCTTTGGTCCTCCTGGCATAGGACTATGGCCTGGAACCTGGCTTCTTGGAGCTATATCTGGGGGCAGGGCTGATCCATGGGACATTTATTTCTGGCCTGGTAGTTACATGCTCCTTCGACATCTGGCCTAATCTTGGACCCGATGTATTGACTTGGCTGGATTTTTCTCCATCTCTGAGGAGTGGGGGCTGTCTTATCTATTATCTATCTCCTCTCAGGTTTACTCTCAGCCCACTCTGGACTGGACTGGGGGATTGGGGGTTTCTGAGGAGTAAATGGTTGAGGGGTATCTGTCTTGTTCAGTTTTGTCTCACAGCCTAGAATTCTGGCTGATGAATGCTGGTGGCAGGAACATCTGGTAGTGGTTGTGGTTTGGAGGCACTTGTGGATGTAGGGTGGATGGTTCCCTCCTGGCCTAGGAATGTGGAGGTGGGTTCATAAGGGAGGCTGTGATGGGTAGGGAGTTAAGGGAAGGCAGGGGAACATATTATGGACACCTAAAAATAGGCCATTCCTGGTGTCATCAGGTGTGATGGCTGAGATTACTCCCACTGAGATCACCACTCCAACCTTCTGTATTCAACTCCTATGCTACATCACTGGATCCTTGACAGCCCTGGTCTTTGGCTGCTGATATTAAATGCCAGGTTGATGTGTAATAAATCCATCCTCCTCCATGACTTGATAATAGAATAGTCAGTCAACCTGTCTGTATAACCAAGACCTGTATGGCCCCAAGGGGGTCCTCTCATAGATGTGCCCACCTGGATTTCTTGTTGGCCATTAGTCACAATCCCAGAGCTGCAGGTAGGAGTGGCAGTTGTCATCCAGGAAGACCTGATGGTTGTCATAGTTTCTGCATCATCTATGTAAGACTTCATAGTTGGTTGGGCTGTAGGGGGAAGTTGGATTTGTTACTGTTGTATTGGCCTCCCTGTTGTGTAGTGACATCCCTCCCTGAGCTACTTGATTCTGTTGCTGGGTTGGTGGTAGATTCCTCAAGGCTGATAGTCTTTAGAGATTTTAATCTGCCTCTGGGTCACTTTGAGTCCGGGGCATCCTGGGATTTCATAACCAGCATGGCACCCATGGATCTTTCAAATTATTGAGAGCCTAACTCATACCAGCACACTAAATCTGGTTTTTCATCTCAAGGTAGTTGCAGTATGATCTGAAGGTGGAGGACATTACCATCTGCTCTTTGACACTGTTGGATTATTCTCTGATTGCTTGGAGTGGAATTCTGACCAGGCTAGTCCAGTTGAGGTGATGGAGGCACAATCTTGCTTTATTAGCTGGGAAGGTGAAGTGAGCAGGATCCTCAGGACTGCTTACCTGGCCATCTATTTGTTAGATCTTTGTCCCTCCTAGCTGGTGAAGGCTGCTTGGGAGGTGACATGCATTTGGTCCATACAGTGATACTGGCTTCTCTCAGAGAAGGATCGTTCTCCTGCCTTGAAGGTGGCACTGCTTAAGAGACCATTGTTGGACCCAACTGTCTTGGGCAACTTTTGTCCAGTTTCCAATCTCCCGTTTTGGAGGGAGGTTGTAGAGAAAGTGATGGGCTGCAGCTCCATAGAGCTGGATTCTTTTCAATTGGGTTTTAGGCTGGGACATAATAAGATCACACTTCCTGATGACCTGCGGTGGAGCTGGAATGAGAGTGGCACATCCATTGCTGTGGTTCTCCTCCTTTCTTTGCAGCCAGTTTCAGTCAGTGTTGGGGGGAGAGAAGAGGTCAAGTTCAAAGGCCTTGATTTGTGGGCGCCATTGGGCTTGCTACTCTCACCCCTCCTGTTTAATATCTACATGAGGCTGCTCAAGGAGGTCATTTGTCAGTTTGGAGTCAGGTATCCTCAATACGCGAATGATAGTCATCCATCCATCCATCCTTGGTTGGCCAAGCAATTCTGTCAAGGTCTTGTCTTAGTGTTTAGAGACTGTGAGATCTGGATGATGAGGAATAGGCTTAAGCTCAATCCTTGTGAGAGCCAGTGGCTGTGGGTGCTTGGATCTCCTGGTTCAGAAGAATTTCCATCCTTGGTTCTAAATGAGCTAGCAGTCCCCAATTTGAAGAGCAGGTAGCAGATGTAGCCAGGAAGGCCTTTGCACAAATCTAGCTGGTGTGACAGTTGTATCTGTTGCTTCACTGAGAAGCCGTCCTTATAGTCACTCATGCCTTGGTCACCTGACAAGTAGTCTGCAACTCACTCTACACGCAGCTGCCCTTGAAGACCACACTGAGTGCAACTGCATCTAGTCCAGAATGCAGCAGCATGAACAATGATGGGCAGACCTTGCTATTTCCGCATAACACCTCTGCTTCATGAACTGCACTGGTTACCAGTAAGCTTCCGGATGCAATCCAAAGTGTTATTACATATAAATGGCATGGTAATGGTTATTACACATTACATGGCATAGGGCTTGGTTTCTGAGGGACCACCTATGTCTGGTAGTACTTGCCCATCCTGCACATTGGCTTGCTTCAGCTTGCTTGATAACATTAAGCAATGCCATCTAGCAGGACCCAGGAAGCAGGCTGTCTCTGTTGCAGCACTTGCCCTTTAGAACAACCTGCTCAAAGTTTTGTTTGGTGCCCACCTTACACATCCTCAAGCAAGCCTATAAATGTAGCTGTTCCTCAGGCCTTGGATTAGAGTGTCTGGGCCCTTCTAGGTGTGTGTATGGGGAGTGATATGGAAGTTTGTTTTTTCATTGTTCTCTTGGGATGATTGTATTTTTTTTTAATATTATGTTGGTTTTTCTGTTTTTAACTTGGTGAAGCTGCCCAGAATTGCCCAGTGGCTGGCTGGCTGGCTGGCCAAACAAACAAACAAAAAAACTTAGAAATTTGGGGTGTGAGAAGGTTAGATGTCCCATTATATTGTTGGAAGGTATGTAGCCCAAAATTAGGGATTCACTTCCTAGTTACTAAACCATGGTTTGAACAGAATTCCACAGACTCACATGGTCTTTACTCTTCATTTTTGTCCTTCATATATTATTATTAACTTTCACATTCTTTCCATGATATGCAGTATCTGCAAATCCATTTAAGCCATGTTCTAAATTTTGGTTAATGTTAATTATAGTTTACAAGATATTCTGACAAAGTATGAGAAAAGCAAACTGACCCCCCCCTTCAGAAATTTGATTCTTAGAAGAAAGAAAAAAATGAAGCTTGCTAAAAATGCCATTTGAAAGTGACATCACAGAGTTTTAATTATATTCTGCAAGTGTAGTCAGGTACACAGAGTTTGTTTATTCAATATAGTGATGCATAAAAGAAGAAATCATGTTTATAAAATTAGTAAAATCACATTAATAAATCCCATAAAGAAACCTGAAAAAATATTAACCATAACATTCAGTTGTATTATACATTCGTACTTAAAAGTGAAATATATATAAATTTAAGACTAGAAATCATTTATATTGAATATAAAGCCAATATTTTTGTTGCAAAAGTACTTCACATTTTTCACTTATGGAATGATTGGATTTGCTAGATGACACATTAATTCTGTTTCATTTATCTGCTCTTAATAGGTTCACATTAGTACCACAGGACTAATTGTGACCCCACCACCCAGTAGTCCAGTAACAACAGGACCTTCATTTACCTTTCCACCTGAAGTCACTTATCAAGCTGCTTTTGCTGTAAGTGTAAGTATCATTTCACAGAAATCAGAATAGTTCTTATGGAATTTTATCTCACTTGGCACTTTCTTTTTTGTAATTCCAGAAGTTGCAACTTCTGTACTTATTACTTTCATTGGTGGGGGAGTGAGTTGGTAAAATTTTATTTGGTCATTCCAACACGAGGAAATTTGAGAACTCCCATGCCTTCAGCCTACTTCATGTACAGCACTTGTTATATAGCAAGGAAAGCATTAGTAATAGTCAAGTATTCATACTATACCAATTCTACTAGTTTACGGTATTTGGGTGTTTTCCTGAGTCTATACAGCAACCATGCAAGCCCAGGAAAAAGAACAGCTTCTTTAAAAAGCAGCCAACAGGTAGAAAAAAGTTTCCCATGTTGGATCCAAATCACCATTGGTTGCTTCAGATTCGAATGCTGCATCCCTTAACCAATTGTATTCAGTGTTAGAGGGTGTAATTTTACATAAGAAGAAAATGGAAGGATTTGAGCTTAAAGAAATTACTGATGAAAACAAGTATTCTATAACTAGCTATCATACACACACACACACACACACACACTCACTCATAAAGGAAATTGATAAAACTGTGGCCAGTGCACAGTTGAGATTAAGGTTATAATTTTAGAGCAAAGGATTGGAGAGAAAATCTATTCCGTTTTAATCTAAACTATTACATTTATATGTGCTAAACTGGTATGGGACACATTTTTCTGAATTCTACAATTAAGTTTTCTGAGCAAACATGAATAGAAATGTTGAAAAAATGTATAAGATAAAAAGTGTACAAAATATTTTAGGAAAAGTCACTTGCTAAACTGTATATATGAAGAAATACATGTGTATTAGGCAAAATAAGCATAAAACCTATGTATTTTCATGCAAAGGTTAAAAGAAATACTTATGCAGAAATGAAATGGAACAAACATTTCTATTCATATATGTTAGATTAGTCATAATGTCAAGCCCATAAAGATGTATGTATGTATTAGAAGGAATTCCAATGAAAAGTGATAACCTTGAAAGCTGTTCTCATTCCTGTTGACCTAATAGACAGAACCACCGCATCATGTACATGCATAGGAATGCAGAAAGCTGTTAATTGCCAATCTAGGGTGATGAAAATCAGGCTTGCCCAGCATGTTAATCACTGAGTTAAAATAAAACTAGAATATGAGTGGTATTAAACTGCACCAGTTTCACATTTTCTGGGTTGGTATGTGGCCCTAATGATTACATCTTTCTCATAAGTAGATATTTCAAAGCTTCCAAATAAGATATAAATGATGTAAAATAGAACTGAAGAATATTACCATAAGATAATAAAATAACTTTATATTTTAAAGTTAGAGATAAATGCATTCCCCACTATGTTGTACAATACAGTTTTCAAGTAGTTGCCACATGTTTGTTTAAAACCAGAAGTAGTGAAGTTAGTATCATGGAAGGTATATGCAACAGTGGTGGGTTGAAGACATATACTGGATATAGATGTTTATTTTTATTTGTGTAGATTTATGCTTTGTTTCATTTTTACTGATGTTTGATTAGACACCTTTGGGACCTTTGAGTGGTGGTTTAGTGGTGAGTGTGAGAAGAAAGATTCAAGCCAGCAGTTCCAGAAGTATATTTTTCACTGTTCAACAGAATATTCTGCAGTACTTCCTTAGCTATTCCTGTGGTTCTGCCTTGCTGTCTGTTTTGTTTTTGTTTTGTTTTGTTTTTGTTTACAAATCAGAGGATAAGATGATGGTTTGCTGCCCCCAAGTCTATTGTATACAAGAGTCATTGTCAACACAGTCCCTAATCGGAGAGCTGTTTTAAAATTTCTGTTGAAAATAGATATCTATTCTGCATTTCAATCCGCAGATGCTATTCAAGGAAATATTTACTCTTCAGGACATTGCAGGATTGTCTACTATTTTATGCTGTGTATGTATTTTCTGGTTGGATGTTTTTTCCTTGCCTTTTTGGCTAAGTAAATACTGGATAGGATAGCCATTTCTTGTGAATGCCTGTTCTCTTTGTGAAATTAGATGTAGAGAAATGTGGAGATAACCTTGACTAAATAATGTAGCAGCAGTTAAAGGATAATAAAAGACAACTCAGTCCTGGGAAAGATGAAGGCTTGAGAAAGAAACTCAAAATAGTATTGCCCTGATTTGGTATAAGAGGAGGCAGAGGAAAGCTGAATAAAGTAGCATTTCTGTAATCCTTCTGATTTCTCTTTCCTTACCTGGCCTACCTCATAGGGCTGACACCAGCACATGAAAATAACTTCATATTTTTTAAAAAATATTAAAAATGACTCAGTTATTTTTTTTTAATGAAAGAATTGTGGAGCACAAATGATTCCAGTAAGGATCTACCTTTTTTAAAAGCTGTCATTTTCTATTGTACATCTTGGTAAAAATTACTACTTTTAGTAATCCTGAATTTCAAAAGCTTACTACTGTCTGTTATTATACTTTAAATGTAACAATAGCATGATAATAACTTGCCAGTTTTGTTTTTAATCTTTGTAATCAGGAGCGAATTTTTAGATTTACGTATGTATGTATGAAAAATTGGAATACTGCCCAATCCAGTGATTCTAGGTTTAGTTTGCAGTCCTGTTCCTAATAGAACATCCTTCCCCCCAGAGATCTGACAGACCCCCACCCTCTTAACCTTCAGGAGAACATTAAAGACCTGGTTCTTCTCCCAAGCATTGGGATAGGGTGAGGTCAGAGTAGGATGTGAATTTAGCAAGTTGCATCTGGGAAGTGTGGTTGTAGCACCAGGTTTTTCTGGTTTTGGTTTTCTGGTTTCTTTTACTTTTATTGCTGTATATATTTTTTATTTTTGGATTGTAAGCCACCCAGCATTTACTTTAAGATGAGCAACTATACAAAAGTTTTAAATCAATAAATAAAATCATGTTTTGCTACTCTTATTGCTACCACACACTTTCAAATGTGGATATACAGCCCTGTTCAGTCACATTCATTCTTTGTTTTGTGCCACTATCACTCTAAGTGTTGAGTTCCTAAGTCAGCTAAGGAGCTCCACAAGTTCTGCAGCAGACCAGTCCTGCACATTCATCTATCACCATATCTATCCATGATTTGGTGATAGATGAATGTGCAAACCTGGCCTGCTGTAGATCATGGATAGATAACAGTCTTATTACATACAGACCCAGCATTAACAACAACATTGGAAGCCAAAATTCCAGCAATCCAGCCACCTGAATTCAGGAAATAGCCAGATGGGCCAGAAAAGGAAACCAGCACTGATTTGCAGTTTTCCTTTTCCTTGAATGACCTGTCCAATGCCTCCCACTGTAATTCTTTCAGCCTGCAATTGTGGATATATGCTCCTCCACATCCCCAACTCTCTGTCCCTACCCTATTGCCTCAGTTGAGCAGCTATCAACCATTTCACACTGTATACTCCAGTGGGACAGCATCTAGAATTTCATTCCTACTCTTGTCACAAATACATTCATCACTAGGGCCTTACTTGAGGGGGGCCTTTTCCTGTACTTTCACTCTGGTTGGGCAATGTTTCTCAATCCCTGCCTGTCACCATGGTTCTTCCCTTTCAGTCATGCAGTGCAGTGTCTTTCTTTATCTTAGTTTTTCCTTTTTGATCTCAAGTGCAGCCTCCACTGCCCTGAGACTGCAATGTTATTGACTTGGCTGGGGGTGCCTCTCACATGCCACCCAGTTTCTGACTGGCCCCATGGAGATCAAATACTCTCCTATTGTAGAGAGTAAGGGAGGTGACCTTGACAGAAATATGCAAGAACCGTTACCTAGGCAAAGGAGGCCAAAGCATTATTTAAGCCCTGGGAAACAAGATAATATTCAGAAGTGCCTAAGGCAAACACCTTCCTAATTCACTGAACCATAAGAAAGAGGAGAAGGTACAGCACAATCAAACTTGCACTATTTTATTATTATAGCCTATCCCATATAAAGTGTTGTTCTGGTCTTCCATGGAGCAGATTTTCTGATCTGGTCTAAGTCTGACACCCCAAACACCAAAATGTACCAGCTCCACCAGATTCTTCTTACTGCTGCCATTACTCAGTGCCCTTCCCTATCACAGCCTTCAGTCCTCTCCTTTCTGGCCATGTAGTGTCCACACATTTTCTCTTACCCAGCCGCACAATGTCTGATGGCAGCCCTCACATTGGTGGTTTGTTCCCAGCAGCTACAGCAGCCCAGGAACCAGCAGTTTCCACCACTACTCCTGCTCCACCGCTTCTACTACTACTTGACAACAACTGTCCAGCATCCCTTTGCATCTCCAGGTCAGTCTTTCACTCTTCCTCCATCTTCTCCTGTATTTCTTTCATCTTCCTTTCTTTTCCCTCTCATCACCATTCATTAGCACCATTCACTATTTATTTGCCCTTAACTACTTCTCCTCATCCTGAAACCCTCACCTCCAAACCCTCTAACCCACAATCTCTTACACAACACCTCCAAATCTCCTAAGTTCCAAAAAATAATTTCAAAATTGCCACCCCCCACTCCCCTGATGCAATGGTGGACTTCATAGGGAACCATCTTTAAAAAAAATAAAAATAAAATAAACATTGGGGCAGATTATATTGAAATTTCTTACATATTTCAACTTCTGGTTTCAAAATCAACAACGGCTTCTAGATATTATTTGAAAAGGGTAATTAAATTTTGAACGGTTTTTGGATTTCTACCAAGAGCTTGTATTGAGTTTTTATATTTTAGAGTCAAATTAGCCTTTTGAATTTGTTCATTTGTCAACAGCATATGTTGTTATTAGGGTAAAACAGTACAACTTTTTGTCCAAGTATGTTCTGTCAGGACATGCGAAGTAGGTTTATTGTTGGGTGCAGATCAGTTCTGTAGTATACATGTTGTGCATGTCAGTGCATATTGTATCTGAATATTGGTGCCAAAATGTAATTTCACTTTTAAAATATTTTATTTCTAGAGTATTAATCCACCTCTACCACCACCACCACCACCTGTCTTGTCTGCTACAATAATTGCCCCAAATTCTACGTGCCTGCCTTCAGGGGCAGCTCAAAAGTCAACATCTGCATTGACTGAGCAAATATCACATTTGAGACCACAGACAAGACCAAGTGTGTAAGTGAAACTAAAACTTATTGATGATTAACTTGAAATGGAATGGATGATTAAAAATTGGCAAAATAATTTGAAGTATTTTCTATAACAATCTTGAAATTGTTTGACTTCTCATCTGGTGTATTTAATTAGGAAAAAGCCACAAAATACATTTGTTTTTGATGCACTGCTTTTTAGGCACCTTATCAGACTTATTACTGATAGTATTGTATCCTTCAATTTAAGCTAAACTTCTGGTGACTTCATGAATATCTCTGTATAATTTTCTTAGTAAGAATATGGGAGTGGGTTCCCATTACATTTTTTCCAGGATGTTTTTTGACTTCCTAGACAATACTTGTGGTATTTTGTAGTGGCCTTCATCTAAGCATGAATCAGATCCAACTGTGTTTAGCTTTTTAAGATCAGGCAAGGTCACCTAGGTGCTGCCATTTAATTTAGCAAAATAGTTTCCCATACTTTTATAGATTGTATTCTGTGAAAAGAGCTTTAGTTAAAGATATCTGTCAGAATACTAAATTGTGAGGTAGTGATATAAGCAACAGCAGATTGCAGGTCAGTATTAGAAATGATGCTAATAACTAGGATGAAGTTTATTTAGTTACAGTGGTAGGTAGAAGTCTGAACTTGTGGCAGAAGTCTTTTGCCTACAATAAGACAAACATCTTCTGAGAAAACAGTTGGGCATATTCTTAGTAAATTTACATAAGATTTCAATGAGGGGAAATTCGGTTTTTATTATCACATATTTTGGTTTGGTTACCAAATTCAAAATTTGCAGATTATTGTATCTGCATTCTTGCATGTGCATTAATAGATAGTTTTGTATGAGACCATCCATAGGTAAAAGTTTCTCTTTAAAAAAACAAAAAAGTACTTTTGATAGCTCTTCAAATAAGGACAGCACTTCTTTTTGCTTGCAACTTAGATTAGCTAGTGGTAAGTGGGTGTTCAAACAGGTTTTTGAGAGATGCAATTGGGAGAAGATATTGCAGTTATTGTGATTATCTTTATTAATTGTCACTAGTTATTAGATATTTGAAATAGCAACTTTGCTGGTCATTGACCGAATAAAGATGATTGATTGACTGAAATAGCAAGAGCTTGAAGAAGTATATTGAGAGGTGATAAGCAGTTTGGGACAGAACATTTTAGATGCCTCTTGCTGATTATAGTAATTTCTGTGATTGAAATATCTGACTATACTGAGGAGCAACTTTTCATGCTGAACTGAACCCACACATTTCATTTTCAAGTAGGAATGATTCTACAAAACCTGTAATTTGCAGCATTTGAGATGAAAATAAATACATAAAACTGGTATTTTTACATCTTGTTTCTTAGCCTGCAATCCATTGAGAATGGTTTCCTTTTCCAGGTATATTGCTATTTATCCATACACTCCTAGAAAAGAAGATGAACTGGAACTGAGAAAAGGTGAAATGTTTTTGGTGTTTGAGCGTTGTCAGGATGGCTGGTTTAAAGGAACTTCCATGCATACCAGCAAAATTGGTGTATTCCCTGGGAATTATGTGGCACCAGTTACAAGGTATGATGTTCAATAAGTTATGCTTTATATAATGATAAAAGAAACAAAATGTTCTGGAATCTGTATATAATAGAGCTGAGTGATTTATATAATAAGAGGCACATAAGTGTTTGCATTATTTTTAATAGGGCAATGACAAGTGCCTCCCAAGCAAAAATACCTGTATCTACTGCTGGCCAGACAGGACGAGTGGTGACCATGGTCAATGCTTCCACTGCTGGAGGAACAGTGCAAAAGCTTCAGGGAAATGGTGTGACAGTGAATTCTAGTACAATACCAACAGCTGTAGTCTCTGCAGCACACATACAAACGAGTCCACAATCCAAGATCCTTATGCATATGTCTAGTCAAATGACAGTGAATCAAGCTCGCAATGCAGTTAGAACAGGTAAAACAGTTTGTTTCTTGACATAGGCAATAAACATATGAGGAACACCCTGCATTTTGTCAAGCTTTAAAATTAATACAGGTGGGAGGGGACAGCAAATATAGTGTATCTACTATCCTGGAGATAAGGCACAGATTCACTTGGTGACCTTGGCTCAGTTACACACGTTCTATAAAAATTGAAAGTATTATCTCAAGGGTAGCATAGGCTTTTTCCATATATGCTGTATGTTGTCTTAGGAGAAGAGTAGGGACATAAATATATGGCTAATATAATGTTGTAGTGTTTTCAGGTGGTCTATGGTGTACATGTCACAATCTGGAAATATATTCTTTTCAGTCATCTGAACTATTTCCCCTTGTCATTGCAGTTGCAATTCATAGCCAAGAAAGACCGACAGCCACTGTAACACCAATTCAGACTCAAAATTCAGCATGCCTTATTCCTGCTGTAATTATTCCACACCATTCTGTTGCCTCCCAACAGCTACAACCTCAGTTTTCCAATGCTGCTGCTTATATCACAGCTGTAAATATCAACCGGACAAATGTCCCATTGGCTTGCACAACTTCTTCATTAAACTCTCCTAGCACTTCTGTATCAGTAGATGGAGATTCAAGTGGGAAAATTGTGACTGTTCACACTGGAGCTCCAGCTTCCCCAGAGAATACATTGGCTGCTGGAGGTATTACTACTATGAGTAAAACAGACAGAGATGGAAAGGTAGGCATAAGTTTTTTGTTCTTTATAGTCTCTGAAAACCCAAGCAGGGCTAGGTCTAGTTAATATTTGAATGGGAAACCATGAGGTTTGTTTCAGTTACAGCTACCAAGGCTATAGGGTAGACTGCAAACAAATCTCAGAAGCCAATGGCAAAACACTTCCACATTTTTGCCAGAAATGTCATGGGCATGTTCATTAAATCATCAGGAGTCAACCTCAGTTCAGATACTTTTTATGTCCTCTGTGCAATCTTTCAATCTTCTCACTTAGGAGACCTCTCTTTTACTTGCTTCTCTGTTAATCTTAGATAGAAAAAGTAACTGCCATTATTTTGACCTTTTTGATTTAGCTGCAATATTACCATTTGATACCATGTCTTTGGTATCACATAATGGCAGATTCAACTTTTATTAAGAATAAACCTGTGTAATAATCAGATGTCTGTTCCCTAATGAGTTGTAATTTCTAAATTTGCTAAAATATAATAAATTTTGTAATAATCAGAGAAACTCATAGGTTTCAGTATTGTGGCTTCTTTTACTAGTCACATTTTACTTTCAGAGTATTGCATACTTAAGATGGCTATCTATTGATCCTGACTGGAATATATAACAAGGTTTGACCGCAAGTTGTTAGCAAACAAGATACTGCATGCTTTAATATTTTTCTCCAGTTCTGTATATGATATATCAGATGTCTTACATATAATATTTTTGTTCCATGGAGCATTTATTGGTAGATGCCACTAACTTTGTTAAACATTCATTAGGAGATCTTTTGTGTGTATCACAAGTGCACTACTTTTTAAATAAAAAAGTGACACTCAAATATGAAGTCAGTTGAAGGGAAAACCAGAAAAGGCCAGAATAAATTTAAGCAAGATAATATGTTGATGGGTTTTTTTCTTTAGATTTTTATCCCACCTTTATTATTTTTATAAATAATTCAAGGTGGCGAACATATCTAATGCTCCTTCCTCCTCCTATTTTCCCTACAGCAACAATCCTGTGAGGTGAGTTGGGCTGAGAGAGAGTGACTGGCCCAAAGTCACCCAGCCGGCTTTCATGCTTAAGGCGGGACTAGAACTCTCAGACTTTTGGATTCTATCCTGGTGCCTTAACCACTAAACCAAACTGGCATAATTTTGTGGCACTGCCTCAAAACTGTACTGTACTGCCTCAGCTTTTTGGTGAATATTTCGTTAACTGGTTTCCTGCATAGTGCTACCTTGAGTTAGGCATTAATGTTGCATCTTGGTGGCTTCTTTTTTTAAAAATTGTTTTATTATATTGTTATAAGACATACATAATACATTATATTATTTTGATACAGTGGTATATATACAGTGTTGAATAGAGATTACAGGTGGTCCTTGCCTAATGACCACAATTGGGACTGGAATCTCGATCATTGGGTGAAGCAGTGGTTTAGCAAGACACCCATGTGATTGCTTTGCTCAACTACTGCAATCTGGGCATCCCCGGTTGCGGTCATTAAGCAATCTCCTGGGTCATTAAGCAGACAGAGCAAAAGAGCTGCTTGCTTAAGGATTTCACCTCTGTGTGGAGCTGAAATCCTCCTGGCAGGCAGCTCTTTGAGAGCAAAAGGGCTGCCTGCCGGACGGTTTCAGCTCCATGCAGAGCTGAAATCCTCCCAGCAGGCAGCTCGTTCACTCTCAAACGTTCCTGCACACTGCCAAGAGGTTTCTCCTCCCCTCCGTGCACAGAAGGGAAATCCTCCATGGGGCTGGAGGAACGGAGCTCAAATCTTCAGAATTTTAGCTCTGTTCCTGCACACTGCTGAGAGGGTTCCCTCCATCCCCTCTGCATGAAACCTTCCCTGCCAGCTTCCCCAGAAAGAAGATTTCAAATGGCAATCACATGATTATGGGGTGCTTGCCAACTGGTCGTAAATGTGAGCCAGTTGCCAAGCACTTGAAATGTGGCCATGTGACCACAGGGAAGTGGTGCAACGTTTTACAATGGCCAGAAGTGCTTTATGTTGTAACTTTGAACTGTCATTAAAGGAATGGTCGTTAAGTGAGTACTATCTGTATTAACATTCTAATGTTTAGATAACTTAGACCATTCAAGATTTAAAAAGGCATATCAGTATTAGCTATGATTTAAAGTATTGATGTTAATATGCATAAGGTTATTTAGCTTTTATATCCAAAGCTGAATATAACGTTAAGAAGCAGCTGCAAATTATATCAAAATATTTGTTGTACAATGAAGATTTCTGTCTTAAAGTGATTATTTAATATTAAGGCCTCCACTGTATTGTCACTTGTTATTTGTGCATGTTGAGGAAAAAAAAGAATATAGGCAACAACAACTAAAAAAAGAAAAAAAAGGCTATTTCGTTTCTAATTTCCCCCTTTTTATGCTTCTGCTGAATTTGCAATGTTTATAAATATTTAGATCCTCTTAGAAACCAAACTGTAAATGTTTATATTTGCTATGCTGTGTGATATATTGTATGTATGGGAACCATTCTTGCTTAAATTTGGTTAAAATTCTGTTGTGAATATGTACTGTTAATTTTGCCTTTGCTGCATATTCCCCAAGTTTAAGTTCCCACATCTTGCTGGTTTCTTGATGATTTCATTTTTAATCTGTATTAATGGATTTTAATTTTTGGGTGGGGGGTTGATGTTTACTATTAATTAATTCATGTGTTTGAATCTCAGCTCTGAGTTGCACAAAGGCTGTCGGTATTTAAGTAAAATTTATGCCCTTAGAAATAATGAATGCTGAAAGTCTTCAATAAATATAAAATAATTTGTGGAGATAATAACCTGACTTCTCTTGCAGCATAATCCTAAGGATTGCAAGTCTGTAATTTATATGAAGCACAATTTATAGCTGTTAGTGGTGCAGTGAGATTAATTTCTTGAAAAACCTCATCCCCAAATGGTTCCATTGTATCATACCACCATTACACATGCTTTGTCCCAATGTATGTAAAGCACATTAAATGCTTGAAATACAATGCTAATTATTTGATTGCCAAATTCAAAGTTCCACATTCATATTACCTTTTTTTTTTTAAAAAAAATCTCTTTTTTAGAAAGAAAAAAAGGGGTTATTGAAGTTACTTTCAGGAGCATCTACTAAGCGTAAACTTAGAGCATCACCACCATCATCACCAACTCTGGAAGTTGAGTCGGCAGCTACAGAACTGTCCCTTCAGGGTGCTGTAGGGCCAGAGGTCCCATCAACTTCTAGTCAGGGAAGAGCAGACTCCTGCCCCATGGACAGTGAAACACCTACATCTGTGCCGGAAAGTACTCACCGCAAAACAAGTTCTGTGGATTCTAATATTCCTATAGCTCCCCCTCCAAGGCAGCCCTGCTCGTCATTGGGTCCAGTGTCAAATGAATCCAGATCCGTAGTCTATGAACGGTAAGTCATTTTCCTGGACAAAAATGTGGTTTTCTTACATTTAATCAAGAAATGCTAATTAAAAGTGATGGAAGAAAATTCTATTAGTATTAGTTCCTCCTTAAATTAACTTGGGTTTGAAATGTTTCAGTTATTTCTAATACATTACATTATTTAAACATTCTGTTGTTTCTAATACATTACTAGTTGGCCAGAAGGCCATACATGATTCATTGTTGGATCATACACAGTAACTTTTTCATGTCAGGCTAATTCCTAAAGTAGATTCCTAAATAGTTGAGTTGGAGGGAATGATGCAGAAAGTACAGCCAATCAAAAAGCCTACATGGCTGGCTGTTACTGGAAATAGTGCTGAACTTTTATAGTATTCTGTTTTTCTAAAATCAAATTTGAATATATTATTGTCCTTCAACACCTAATTCCAAGGCAGTGTGCACACACACACATGCACACACACAAACACACATACAGAAACATAGACAAGGTAACAGAGTAGGGCTCTTTCTTGCATTTACATTAAATACACATTTTAACTCATAAATCTATTTATATTAACATTCTATTTTAGTGGAATGTTCTTTAGCATAAAAATTTCAGATATCAAACATTTATTTGCACAGTAGCTGAATGATGCAGATTACTGAAAAGATACAAACAGATATCTGCATTCTTAAGGTCTCCCCCCCCCCCATTTCCATATAAAATAACATTTTTCTCTCATTAGTTTTGGCACTTCATAGTTTCTGAGCTGGCAGGGAATCGACTTTCTCCAAACTAGAGAATGATGCTTCTTTGGATTATCTCATACATATTATCTCATCTCTGTGTCTGAATGACATATACAGTTTTTAAGTCATTTACAATACATCAAGGAAATAATAGAAGGGAATGTCACTTCTGTCATATAATGATTTTCATCAACAATATTGTCAGAAAGGAACAGAGAAAATGATCACATCGTTTTTCACTGTTTTGTTTGATAAAGGCTTTTCTTATTAGGGTAATGATCTCAATAGAGCATAGTAGCATTCTTCTTTTCCCATATTCCCCACCTTTCTTTAAGTTAATGAGTATATTTTGAGAAAAGATTCTTATTTTCATAAGAAAAAGAGTACAGTGGGGGACTGGAAAAGCAGGCAAGAGGACTGTTTTGAATATCTATTTCAAAGCAAGAGATCTGAAAACAACATTTATGTCTTCCTAAATAGAAAAGGGTTCGTGTATGATAGAGATCTATAAAATTAGATATGGATTAGAAGATAGGACAGGATTAGTCTCATAAGAATAGAACCCGATGTCATCCAATGAAGATAAGTGGAGGGAGAGATAGATCAATATTTGATATTGCTATTTTAATTTTTTCCACAGTTACATAATTTAACTGATTCTTCAGAATGTAAACCCTATCTTCTTCAAATGATAACATTTATATTTTGTTTTGCATAGAAATTCTTACAAAGCAACTCTCATTTTTTTTATTGCCAATTTTTGTTCAGGTGAATTCTTATTCACGTCAAAAAATACCCTATGTGTATAGTATTGTATAACTAAATTTGCTGGTGATAATGTTTCACTAATTTTAATGTACTGAGCTGTAGACAGATTTTGAAATTAGAAAGTGATATGAAAATGGAGTTGTTTCCATTGCTGTGTACATGAATCTGCTTTTCTTTTTGTGTGGGCAAAATACAAAAATCTGTGAAATGAATGCTCAAGTGTCATAGAATCATAGGGTTAGAAGGGACCTTGGAGGTCTTCTAGTCCAACCCCTTGCCCAAGGCAGGAGTCTTCATACCATCTTGGACAAATGGTGGTCCAGTCTCTTCTTGAAAACCTCCAGCAATGGAGCACCCACAGCTCCAGGAGGCAAGCTGTTCCACTGCTTAATAGTTCTCATTGTCAGGAAATTCCTCC